CCCAGTTCTAGATTCTAAGTTTGGAACGAATAAAGTGTTTCCTTCCTTCCTCCTGTGTCCTTCCCTCCAAATTCCATTAAATATTAAATTTGAGAAGTATCAATATTGGAGAGGCTATGGAACATCCGGCACGTCCCAGGGCCGCTGCAAGTGTGAACTGGTCCTATCATTTTGAAAAGTACTGTTGCCATCGGGTACGGTAAAGGTGTGCACAGCCAAAGACCCAGCGCCCCGCTCCTGGATGCCTCCCACAAATACCCTTGCACTCGAATGCCAGGACCTGCGGCAACGCTGTTGGCTTTAGCAAACAGGAAAGGAGGCAAATGAAAACATGGATACACGGTGTATACCCATACACTGAAATGTCCCCAGGAGTGAAAGTAAATGCAGGGCAGCTACACCCAGCAGCGCGGGTGAACCCCAGAAGCGCAATGTGGAGAGAAAAAAAGCCATGAATATAATGATTCTATTTATACAGGGTTCAAAAACAGACAAAACTAAAAATATGTTGTTGAAGATTCAAATATGCGTGGTGAAACTATAAGACGAGCCAGAGTGCAGTATAGACAATATTTGGGAGAGAATCGCTCAGAGGAGGAGAGGCAGGGGATGGAATTGCAGAGGGGCCCACACGATGCCAGGTCCCGCGATGTTTGTTGTAGTGTGTCTCTTTATTCTCAATCCATATTTTATGCTACTCAGTAATAAGTAAAAATAATTATAAAAATCCAGTTATAGAAAAGAGCATTTAAGTATGACCCCATTTTTTCATTGTATATGTATACAATATGTATAATGATCATGTATAGAAAAATGACTGGAAAGTTACACATTAAAATATTAATAGTGGTAAATGGAGTTTTTTCCACTTTCTTATTTTCTTCAAGATTCTATAAAAAGAATGCACCATTTTTGTTAAAAATTATTTTAAGCTAGGGGCACCTGGGTGGCTCAGGTCATGATCCCAGGGTCCTGGGATCGAGCCCCGCATCGGGCCCCTGCTCGGCGGGAAGCCTGCTTCTCCCTCTCCCACTCCCCCTGCTTGTGTTCCCTCTCTTGCTGTCTCTCTCTCTGTGTCAAATAAATAAAATCTTTTTTAAAAAATTATTTTAAGCTACACATAGAATTCTATAATGAAATGAAACTGTTCACCATATGTCAAAGCATGGGTTATGAAATTGGTTTGTTTAGTGTGATCTCAGCTAGGGAGAAAGCAGGCAGAGGGAAAAGATAAAGAGACGTCTAAAAATGTGACTGGAATGGGGCACCTGGGTGGCTCAGTCACTTAAGCAACTGGCTCTTGATTTCCACTGGGGTTGTGATCTCAGGGTTGTGGGATCAAGCCCCACATCGAGCTCAGCACTCAGTGGGGAGTCTCCTTGGGACTCTCTCCCTCTGCCCTTCCCCCAACCCCCCACACATGCACTCACACTCTCTCTCTCTCAAAATAAATAAATCTTTTTTAAAAAATGTGACTGTGGGATCACAGGGGATTTCTGCTTACTTAGTTTTGCTTAGTTATTTTCTAAATAACTTCATATTGTTGCTTTTTAAATGATGAATCACAATGAAAGCTTTTGTTTTGTTTTTAAAGATTTATTTATTTATTTGAGAGAGAGTGTGAGCAGGGAGGGGGCAGAGGGAGAGGGAGAGAATCTCAAGCAGACTCTATGCTGAGCACAGAGCGTGACACGGGGCTCGATCCCATGACTCGGAGATCATGACCCAAACCAAAACCAAGAGTTGGATGCTCAATCCACTGAGCCACCCAGGCACCCCTGTTTTGTTTTAAGAAAAAAGGGCCAAAGGCCTATTGCTTGCTTACATTTGCAAAAGACCCTATGCAAATTGTTCATGGCTAAATCTCTGGTTCCTGGACAGTGCTCAGCTCATAGTATGCATTCAGTAATTATTTACAGAATACATGAATGAGTAAATGAATTAATGAATGAACAAAGAGTGTTAACTGAGCAGGTGGAAGAGATAAAGCAGAACTCTTGGTCTCTGGTTTTTATTTGTCCCTTCTCTGCACATTACAGTCTAGAAAGTGCATAATTTCCATAGATAAGAAGCCCTAGATGGGTAGTTAGATTGCATGACATTTCATTCCTTGGCTTGCATGAATTCCTTTCTAGCAGCTGAGACAACATACAGTAGAGACTGATAACCTTTGTGGATTCTTGGAAGGCAGGGAGTTTGTAGAATATTAAAGACCAGCAAACGCAACCAACTTTCCCAAAAGGAAGGGGAAAGATGGATGAACTTGAGAGTGATCAGCTACTTCTGTACTGGGCAAGATTCTATACCTATGCAATTCTTGGTAGGAAACCCTTTGTTGGCACTTAAAAAAGGAAATGCTCACTACAAGTCAGCATGGGTGCAGCCCTAGCTGAACCTACCCCACTTCCTTCTCTGGTAGCAATGAACATCTGAGGAAGGGTTGGCTGAAAAGAGCTGTAGACAAAGGCTCTGATTTTCAGCATTCAGTAAAAGTGCCCTGGGAATGGCTGAGAAAACAGTAAAATTCAGGAAACTAACATACAGTCTATTGTGGGCCCCACCATTGTTGTACATTGCCATGTGTAAAACAAAAACAACTTTACCAAAAAGATAAAAACCTTGGAGCCTTAATCCTTCCCAAGTCCTCCTCCCCCAGTCCAGCCCTGCTCCTTTGGGGGTTTTTTGGTGTTGTTGTTGTTTTTTTTAAAGATTTTATTTATTTATTTTGACAGAGGGAGACACAGGGAGAGAGGGAACACAAGCAGGGAGAGTGGGAGATGGAGAAGCAGGCTTCCCGCCGAGCAGGGAGCCTGACATGGGACTCGATCCCAGGACCCTGGGATCATGACCTGAGCCGAAGGCAGACGCTTAACGACTGAGCCACCCAGATGCCCCTAGCCCTGTTCCTTTGAATAGGGGAAGCAGTCAAGCAGGACTGAAGGTCCAGGAGAGGCATGCACATTGCTTACCAAAGCACAAAAGGCAAATGACTCAGTGTCACCAGTAACTTAGTTTCGGAAGTCCAGGAATTGGCATAGAGACCCAAGAAATTGTATGAGTCGGCTTCTTCCATCCTCCCACCCATGTGTATCCCCAACACCCCTCCCCCATCTGATGTTGTGCTAACCAAGGGGACAAGCTCCTATTCTTTCCATTAGAACAGGGGTTTAAATTTTTCTTTTTAGGAGGGAAACACTTTCTTTGCAAACAAACTTACCTGGAACCCCCTTATATAAAACTGATAAAAAATACAGATGCTTAAATCAAAACCACAATGAGATACCACCCCACATCCATTAGTATGGCTACGGCCAAAAAAAAAAAAAAAAAAAACCCAGGAAATAACAAATGTTGGCAAAGATATAAAGAAATTGGAAGTCTTGTGTATTGTTGTTGGGAATATAAAATGGTACAAAGGCTGTGGAAAACAGTATGGCGGTTCCTCAAAAAATTAAAAATTGATTTACTATATGACCCAGCAACTCCACTTCTGGGTATATACCCCAAAGAATTGAAAACAGGGTCTCAAAGAGACATGTGTACACCCCTGTCCACAGCAACATTATTCACAATAGCTAAAACACAGAAGCAGCCCAAGTATCCATCAACAGATGAATGGATAACAAAATGTGGTATATCCACACAATGGAATATTATTTGGCCTTAGAAGGAAATTATGGCGTATGCTACAAAATGGATGATCCTTGAGGACATGCTAGGTGAAATAAGCCAGTCACCAAAAATAAATACTGTATGATTCCACTAATATTATGAGGTACCTAGAGCAGTCAGATTCAGAGAGACAAAGTAGAGAGCCGATAGCCCGTGGTCGGGGAGGAGGGGAGGGGAGTTATTGTTTGATGGGTGCAGAGTTCTGGTTTTGCAAGATAAAAAAAAGTTCTGTACTTGGATGGTGGTAATGATTGCACAATATATGGATGTACCTAATACCACTGACCTGCACATTTAAAAATGTTTACAAGGGCAAATGTTATGTTATATATATTTTACCACAACAAAAAATTTTTGGAAAAAACCCACAGGTGCTTAATCTGATTTTGGTGGGAGTAGAGGTGGGGGACAGCCACATCTGTCTGACCCCTCAGTGGGGTGACCCACTCATCCCTGTGTTAGCACTGAAGGTGCCACATCCCAGGGACACTGCTCGTCCCAGGCAAACCGGGATGGTTGGCCACCCTATCTCCTAGTCCCAGATGGACCACTGTGGTGTTCACGTGCAGGGACCCTGCAGCACGAACTCAAGGGTGTCGAGACACAATTGTATTCTATGGGATACATTGCCCTGTCCCCAGCTCCCCCAGCTTGAGCCAGAAGGAACTCATCCCTCAGCCTCAGTCCTGGAGGCGGCCCTGGCTAAGCAGAGAGCCCTGTACACCTTCCTTGGTTGCTAAGGATCCGCTCAAGCTCCCTGTGCCGGGCAGAGGGCAGGGCCTCCAGCTCACCCTAGGTCAGGGGTTTCAGTCCAATCCTGGCTGGTGAGGCCCAGCCACCCCAGAATCCCCTCCAAATCCAGCACCTCACTCCCAGTCCCCATCAGGCTTGAGTCCAGGCCTGGTGCCGGAGGTAGACAGAGCACAGGGCCCCCACATCCTCATCCTGGTGGGTCCTAGAATCCCTGAGCCTGAGACAGTTGCCTGGGCCTTTGGACTCATGGTCCACATGGGCTCACCCCCAAGGAGGCTTCACCAGGCTCCCTGGGGAGGAACAGAAAGGGAGGGCAATTTCTCCCCCAAAGCCCTTCACCTCTGGCCTTCCCCTACCACCACCCTCAAGATGCAAGCCAAATGTGAATTCTGAGACCATTCTCTGTCTTCTACTTCTCTTTGAATAAATTGACTCAGTTCTCATATTTTAGATATGTCACCAGTCACAATTCCAAAGAAACGAAACTCCCATGTAATCTTGGTTTCTTCTACCTCGTGACTTCCTCACCAGCAACCTCTTACAAAGGAAGGTCAGAGCCCAGATTTCAAAGAGTCAGGGAACCCAGGAGTCTTCAGCCCCATCCTGCTCTTACAGCTGGTCAGCCGCCAGAAGGATGAAGGTGATCCTGGCTACCCTGGTCTTCCTCCTCATTCTTGCTGTCCTCCACTCTGAGGCCAATGAAGGTGAGTCCTGTTACTCTTATTCCTCTGAACAGAGATAGTACAGTGGCTGGAAGCAGGGGGTTGCCGGGAGATGGGGGTGGTCCAGAATAGGCTGCAAAACAGACAGCATCTTTACCAAGGGTCTCTCCCCGTTCCTGGTTTGGACTCATTTCTGCCTCCTTTGGGGAGAGAAAATCCTGCCTCTGAGTGCAGCCTCCCTGGCCCTGGGGTTCCCAGCAGAGAGAAGCTGATCCAGCACCCTCTGGGCTACTTGCTTAGCACCCTCTTGCAGATATATAGGAGCCCCCGCATAAGCATAGGCTGGGACAGAGGAATCTGCAAAGGCTCAAACTGTCTTCATGGCTTAGATGAGGTTTTACATGTTGATTGGTTGCCAGCATTCAAAAATCTGTATTTCTTGTTTCTTTTGCAACTATGGAAGACCAAGCAGACGGGAGCCCGAGTTCCCACAAGCTTTCACTGGGACTGAAGTGGTGGGTGCCGTCCCTTTAGACAGGGGGTGTGCTCCCAGGTCTTAGGGGCCCCCACTGCCAGGGCCACGTGCACCCTGTCTGCCTGTCTGCCTGGCTTGTGGGGGTATTGAGCCTGAGACCCCAATATCAGCCTTCCCCCTCTCCCTTTAAGATTTGTCTCGTATGTCTACGGCATAGAGCTGCTCCCGGCATGTAGTAAGCTCTTAATAAGTATCTGTGGGATACTCCAAGCAGAGGCAACAGCAGGTGACTGAGAAAGGCAGGGCTAGACCCCAGGTGTCCTGACCCCCAGCTCACTGCCCTTTCCACCCTAAACAGGCATGGTTGCCTCTCTTCAGGGAGCAGGAACCAGGGGAGAAGGTGGCACAGTGGAACCCTGGGGCGGCGGCAGGGGGTGGAGGGAGATTTCCCAGGAAACTATTCTCCGGAGCTGAATTTCAACCAAAATCAGAGACAGAAATACACTCAATCCTAGAACTCTGATCTGGCATCCCTGCTAGTCCAAGGAATGATGGCCGGTTTTCCAGGAATTGTGACTGCAACTGGCTATAGAACTCCCTCCTTAATGCTTCCCTGTAACTCCCGTGATCATCGTGGGGCTTCTCATCTGCAGATGGGATAAGGGATACTTTCTCAAAAGGCTGGCATGAGGAATGGAGAGTCAGGAACTAAGCCACACACCAGGCCTATGGTAGAGACTCAGTCAGTGGAAGCTTCTTTTTTTTTTTCTTCTTCAGAGAACAGCAACCCAGAATGGAGAAATAACTGGCTTTACAGTCAGGGAGATATAGATTCAAGTTGAATTCATTCATTCATTCAACAAATATATATTAAAAGCCTACCCCTGCCACCCTTTCAGTAAACACCCTGGGCTACAGTGAGGGACAGAGGCAGACACTGTCTCTACTCCCAGGGAGCCTCATTCTAGAAGCTCCGCACTGGTCAGCTTGTGGACCTTGTCTCTTTCAGGCCTCCTAAGCCTCAGGTTCTCTGTCTGTTACACAGGGGTAAGGAGGCCCTGACTTAAACAGTCATCGGTATATAAATCAATACACAGTACTTGCCCCATCGATATTTGCCGTTTTAAGGAGACAGGTTTGGAAAGGGTGGGTGTCCTGTCCGGAGTCACATAGCTTTCAGGAACAGAGACAAGGACAAGTGTAGATTTCCTGCTTTGTAGCCAAGGCTCTGCTCATTATAACATCATAAACCTCCCCCTTCTATCATTCTCTCGAGACCCGTGAAAGGGGACCCTCTCATATGGAGGGGCCAGTCCTGCCCTGCTGTAGCCCACCCTGGACATCCCCTAGCAATTCCATACGGCAACTCCTTCTCAGCATGTCAGGAAACCGTTTTTCCAAATCCCAAGTCCTAAGAAAACTCAGTTGAGAAACTGGGAATATATGGAAAATTCTTGCAAGAATTAAAGCTTAACAATCCATATGGAGGTGTTACTGATTTAAAGGAATCCACTGACATGTGGAGCAAAAGCAGGAAACACGTGACACGTGGGATGTAATGTTAAGATCAGCATTTCGGGAAACCGGAACAAGAGCATGCAGGGGGGAAGTGACCTGACAGCTTGGAGCTGTAGCCATGTCACAAGTATGAGTCCATGGCCCTGTCTGCTGCTGAGTGTTTACCTCATACACTTAGCACAAATCATGTTAAGTGGTGTTTCGAGGAACAAGTTTTAAAAGCAAAATACGTCCTTCAGTGGGCCATTTCAACTGTGATTCCTGCTAGGAGATATGAATACTCTGTTACTTGAACAATAATGTTCATGGACGTTGCCCAGTGTTTGAATAATTGTTACAGGGCTCTAGTTCTTTATAAATGCTTTTGCAGAAGAAATACGAAGAGAAAATGTATAAATGTTGTAGACTACTGGGACGTGACACCAGAAACGTTTGCTAATTCATACATAAAATCTAAATTAACAAAAGCACTATTGACTTGAATGCGAAAACCAGTCAGTACAAGCAGACAAGATACTCCCGTTGATAAAAAAGGAAATGAGCTTGTATGAAAGATTATAGATTCTAACACCCAACTGGAAGATGCACTTGGACACAGTTTGAACGATTTGGCCAACAGCAACGCAAAAATGGAAAAAATGTTTCTACATTTGCAATATTTGTTACAACACAAAGATAAAGACTACAAATAGGGCAATTAATGGTTCTGTGTTTTAAAAATTCATTTTTGAATGATAAATTTTAAATATTTTAAATATTAGACAACTGTAGTATTTTTTTCCCACTTTTTAAATAATTTTTCTTGGCCATTTATTTTGTATCAATGTTCCCTTTTTTTCCGTATTTTCTGTTATCGACTGTATCTGCCAGAGAACATTCCACATGTTATTGAGTATATAATCTTGTCATAACACTTAGAGACCATTTATTACCTTACCTTTTTTTTGTTTTGTTTTTTACAGAAAACCTCTGAAACTTTCAGTACAACCCTATCACAGAAAAGCAATTCATTGTTTAGCATATGGTCATGAATTATTATTTAGAAACATGAAAATAAAGTGTTATGGAAAATATACAGTACACCTAATACAATGTTATATTGTCAATTACATCTCAATTCTTTTTTTTATTTATTTTTATTTATTTATTGTTAAAGATTTTATTTATTTATTTGACAGAGAGACGCAGCCAGAGAGGGAACCCAAGCAGGGGGAGTGGGAGAGGGAGAAGCAGGCTTCCCGCCGAGCAGGGAGTCCGATGCGGGGCTCGATCCCAGGACCCTGGGATCATGACCTGAGCCGAAGGCAGACGCTTAACGACTGAGCCACCCAGGCGCCCCCTCAATTCTTTTCTTTTATGTTATGTTAATCACTATACATTATATCATCAGTTTTGATGAATCATGGAATTACATCTCAATTCTTAAAAAGAAAATGGAATAATTTATGAGTTAAGAATTCCCAGGAATTCTGATTTCTTATTCCCAAATCCTGCAGACTGTCAGAAATTTGAAACACTTCAACCGGGAGTCACACTCCAGCCCGAGGGAAGGGTCAGAGAGAAGTCAGCAGGGGCCAGCAGTGGGCAGGGAAGAGAGGTTTTAGAGGAGGATAATTTTTTTTAAGTCACCTCTACACCCAACGTGGTGCTCAGACTCACGACCCTGAGATCAAGAGTCCCATGCCCTACTGGCCGAGCCAACCAGGGGCCCCTAGACAAGGATAATTTAAGAAGGAGAGGAGGACGGGCTGCAAGAGGCCAGGCCTTACTCCCTCACAGGTGCTCTGGTCTGGTCTCCTCCTCTGATGATCTGGGCGATAGAGATACAGGTTTACGCTTCCTTGTGGAAAAGCTTTCATCACCACATGGCCCTCTACCTTGCAGAACCAGTTAATAAATTAACCTCCCATCTGTGCTGTTTGACCTACATCTCACGGAAGGTCCCACTCCGGATTGTGAAAGGTTATGATAGGACCAGTGACCAGTGCCCCACCCCAGGGGTCATGTGAGTTCGGCCATGCTGGGGGCGGAAGGGGGTATAAATATGAGAACCAGGAGGGCCTGGGAGAAGGAAGCAGAGGGGTGGGACTAGCTAGGAAGTGGGGGGAGCACAGGAAGAACCAGCTGAGCAGCACCCTGGGGACTTCCCAGCCTGAGCTTGGCCTCCAGGGAGGTAATGGGAGCTGGTAGTAGGGTCTTCACGGACTCCTTGGGGAGCAACAGAGAGTGGGGTGTCCTTCTCTGTGTGAAGGGCCCACATCCAGCAGAGAGAGAGGTGGGGAAGCTCAAGCTGGGTAGAGAAGGAGCTGGGCTCCTCTCTGCCTGCTGACTCAATTTCCCCTTTCTCCTTGTTCCACAGCTTCCTTACCCAACAGGGCCGACAGATCTGCGCCAACCCCAATGTTGCCTGGGTGCAGAAGTACATCAGATACCTAGACCACGCGTCTAAGTTGTCTGGGAGCACTGGGGCCCGCATGGCCGAGGGAGTTTGAGGAGACGCCTTCCCTCCCCAACTCTCTCAGCCCCAGAAGGTCCCTGGGAGTTGTCCTGGTCCAAATTGAAACTCTTTCTTGCTTTTCTGTGCTCCCATTCTCTAATGAATCCTGCTCTTTCCGGAAGCTTCGCTTTGACACTGCCCTCTGGGACCTGAGGTCACTGTGGCCCCCAGACAGCATCTGTCTCCCCTTTGCAGGCAGCCAGTTGTTGAAATAAAGCCATGCCCCAGAAAGGAAACTGGGTGGTTTGAACTGGTTCTCTCACAGACAGCTGGTTATGTCTCTTCTTTTATAGACACTTCTACTGTATTAACTATGTATCAGGTGCTGTTCTAGACTCTTCCATATGAACTAATTGACATAGTGGGATGATGGGGGCAGAGTTAGAATCAGGAGTACTGAACACAAGCGACCCCTTCTTCGGGGCCTTATATCACGGGAACAGCGTGAAAATCCAGACAAACTGTTCGTTTGCATGGAAAGTAGCCAGTTGAGGTGCACACCTAACACATCTTATCATTCCCATCATCCATACTGGGGGCTGCAGCCCCTGCTTCCCTGGAAGCTCTTCCCCGCACCTCTGCCATTTAAACATTTACTTCTCTGACCACCCGTCAAGACCTACTGTAAGTAACACCTTGTTCTCTGTGCCTAAAGCCACGCACCCCAAACCCTGAGATCCTGCCTGCAGTCTCTTGGGTTGCTCCCTTGGCCCTCATCCTCAGTGACTTTGGACATCTGACGTTGCCCCCACCACCGCCCCAATTAAAGACAGAGCCAGGTACAAGGCAGTTCTCCGTGGGGTACGAGGAGGAAAAGGGAGGTAGGTGGGAGGTACTCAGCTCTGCTCTGGGGAATGCTGAGGTTGACGCCAGCCTGGCCATGCTTCACTTGGACACAGACCAGAGAAGGGCCTCGGGGACGCTGGGTTGTTCAACCCATACCCCAAGACTCAGGTCTTGCGGAAGACACACTACAGCTTTCTGCCTCAGTCCTAACTCCTGCAGAAGAAGGATCCTGTTTGACACCATAGGTCAGAGATCTCTGCACATCCGTGAGTTTAGTGGTGGGGTGTGAGGGGCCATCTACTGTCTGGGGCAAGGTTAGGAAACTAACAGTCTATCTTAGGTGTCCTCACATTCCCCCGTCGAGGCCCATTTCCTCACTTTCCTGCTCCTCACTCTTCCAAATTCCAACCCTTAAAGCCATAATGCACCTGGGCTTACTCTCGTTCAAATCCCGTCTGGAAACCAGTTCTCTGCACCTCCATTCACACTAAAATATGGTCGAAGTTTTGAGGGAACCCAAATCCCAAAGCCAACGGGACAAGAATCATTGAGGAGGTGGGAGGGCCTGGGGTCTCTGGGAAGGATGGGAAGGTGTGCAGGGGTAAATAGAATCTCCACTCTCCAAGCTACTCATAGTCCTACAGGTAAGCACAGCCATCTGGCCCCCAGCCAAGTGAGCCTGTCTGCCTATAGGAGGGAAGGAAGGAGCTTAGGGAGGCACTACTATGTGTCAAGAATTGTGCAAAGTGCTGTATGTACACAACATCTTTTTTTTTAAATTTTTTAAATAATTTTTTATTGTTATAGTGGGAGAGGGAGAAGCAGGCTTCCCGCCGAGCAGGGAGTCCGATGCGGGGCTCGATCCCAGGACCCTGGGATCATGACCTGAGCCGAAGGCAGTCGCTTAACCGACTGAGCCACCCAGGTGCCCCGCACATTTCATTTAAACTCCCCTCAGATGTATCTGAACTCCACGTGAATGTAAGTAACTGCAGAGTTGGTCTACTTCACATTCCCAACAA